CTGCCTGCACTGTCAAATGCAAGCAGCACAGCACAAGATAGAGAAGCACAGCTAACAGTAATGACTACCAAAAGAAAAAGAAAAAGTCTACATGGTTAATTTCGCCCTCTACACAATATTTCCTCTCATCAGTATGCCTGTCTCAAGAATAGAACACCAGCTCGAAGGGGAAGGACAGTACACAGTTAGAAGGAATGATAGCATTCCTCCCAAGAAAATGAACTGTTGGGAAAAACACTCTTTCCCCCCAAAAGGCATCTGGATCTAATAGGCAGTAGTCAGGTAATTTTTATTAATACAAAACTTACACTGGTCCCCGCGTACACAAAGTTTACACTCTTTACACTTGCAATGAACCAAGATACTTTTTATGTTTGAATGTAAGCCAAGAGAACTTTGGCACCCATATTGTATTCAGGAAGATGATTTCAGAAGCACTGGGACTGGAATTGAACTATAATGTCATACTTGAACAAGTAAAACCAAAAACAATCCATGAATAACCATTATCAGTGAAAGCAGCCCTACTGGACTATGCAGCCCTACTGGACCATGCAGCCCGTCACTGTAAGAAAGCATTGCACAGACCAACTCTAAGGATTCTATGGTTTATGCAAAGTAGTACCTATTTCACTTGGAAAAAGAAAAGATGTTTTATCAGTTAGATACATTAAAAATAAAATCAAAATGTTGCTAAGTCCATCTCCACTGACAGATTTGATTACTCCTACAAACAACTCTAGTATTTATGTTCCCCCAACAACTGTGATGGAAGATTAAGCCAATACATAATCTGTGGGCCAACTATTTTTCTATCTCTGAAGCTTTCTTTAAGAGAGAGAAGACTCTTCGATTGTACCAGTCTAAGAGGAAATAAAGCTGTGATGGCCTAGTTAATTTTAATTATTCTCATCATAAGACACAATCAAGTACTGAAGCAAGTGTTCAGCATTTACTTATGATTGTGTTAGAATCATTAACTTCTGTAAACCAAATACACATAATCATGCTCTGTAAACACTACAAACCATACTGTTGAAGTAGAACAGGCTGTCTTTCACGTCACTGTGTATTTTTAAAAAGGAAATTTTAAAGAAAGTCTTCCAGGCCTGGCACTGCTTTCGGACATAATAAAGTTAACTATCTCTCCACTTCTCTCCACTGTTTCTAAAAGATCTTTGCACAGCAGAGAGAAATCTGCTCAGCTGCTGAAGACCCAGGCTGTCCTCCAGAGCTACTGCTGAGTGCCCTGAGGTGATGATGCAGAGCCCTGCTGCTTCCTCACCAGCAGTCACTGAAGCAGCAATTGCTCAGGGACTGTCTAGACTGACTGCCACAGATTCCCATCACCACACTCCGAAGAACACATTTGCTCTAGGGCACAAGTGTCTTATCCTATGGTTTTTTAAGCCAGTTTAACATCTACTTAAAGAAATCAAGTCCTGTTTTAATCATCATGAGTAGCACTACTAGCCCACAGATGGGACTCAGCATCACTGTTTAATACAGATCCTCACTCCCTTCCCGTCCCATCCCCAACAGAAAGAGGAGCTCAGGAGAACCACATTTATCAATATTGCAATATAAAATCAGGTGAGAGAAGTGATACAAGGCGACTAATTTTGTTTTCTTTTTCTAAGTGGAGTTTGATTAAAGCCTACTGGGTGTCCGAACTTGATGCACTTGTCAGCTTCTACAGCTCCAGCTTGCATCAAACTGTCACTTAGGATCCCCACCCATTGATAAGAGAAAAAAACAAATAAATCTTCTAATTACATAGCATACACCATTCAACCTGCACCGAGGTAACAGAGAACTAAGGTCAAAATACCCATCAATGAGTAATTACAGCTTGGTCAGCAATGCGTACCACAAGTCCCCTTAGTAACATCCCGGCTATCATTGCAGGAATGGGGTGAAGGAAAAACAACATAGCCCTGAATGAGATGATGAGAGATCCTGCAAGTTCAGCATCTCTTAAACATTGGTTCATTAAAAAATAAATAAATAAAAGGATACCTACTTTTATGCTAAGGTGCAATTTCAAGCTTATGAGTGAGCATGATTTCTTAAGGGAATACTTGACTGCGAGTGGAAAAAGCACACCTGATACACACTTATTTGCGGTTTCTGCTAATACACTACAAAACTTCACCCCTTTTCTGTTCTCAGCTGCAAGGACGGCCTAGTCTCAACACCCACTGAGTTAACTCATATCTTCTGATTTCTCTGCATGAAGGGCATTTCAGTATTTCATCTCTGTAAAAAGTTAGAAACACATTTATGCATCACTTCCTCCATCTCCATGCAAAGCGCAAAGGAAATCGCTCAGCCGCATGCTGAGCGGCTCTGGTTCAGGTGTCTCAGGCTGAACCCGTCCTACAGAATGAAAGGGTTCATAACACCCCTGGTTTCCCAGACACAGGAAAAGTTTCAGTCAGCTTTGAAGTCAAAACAGCTGTCTAGTTTACCTTGGCTTGCCCTGCCACCAAAAAGCAGAAATTAACTCAGCCATACAGGAATCTCCTCGCATGATTTTGCCGAGCATCTCAGCTGTTGCTATTAGAAGGAGTGTACTCAGGAGCCTGTGCTCATCTGTATGGAACTGCAGGTATGGACCGCAGAAGCTCAGTACAGTGCCTGGGCAATTTCTTACAGCAAGCACAGCACGCCTTTTGTTGTCCTCATGATCATTTCTGATTACATAACTGCGTCCAGGATATCATACAAAGAAAAGCAATGCAAACCAGTTACTTCCTCAGTCCCTCGTACAGCTGGTGCCCTCGATGTCCCTGCTGCTGCCACCGCAGCGGCCAGACCAGACCACGCGGCCCTGCGGCGCTTCTCCGCAGGCGCTCTCCTTCGAGTAAACACCAGAGGGCAACAGATGCCCTCTCAATAGGCAGAGGGAGCCTTAAAGGCTTAGTCCTTTCGTACCGCTAGGGAAAGCAAGTCCCTCCTTGGTTTCAAACTCCAGTGTAACTCCTGTGCGAAGCACAGCCATGTAAACTGAGCAGCAGGAGCAAGTGCCTGCTTCTTGCATGCCAACTGCTTTCCTTGTCCCTTATTCCTCCTGCCACTCCTCTGTCTCACTGAAGGGCCATACTTGTCTTTTGAGGACGTAAATGTAATCATAGAATCACAAAAACCAATACACCACACTAAGTTTATGATCTTTTCTCTACTAAATTACCAATCTATACCTGGAAATAATTGTTCTAGTAGAAGAGAGGATTAGGTGTTAATGAGGTGCATTCTAACATTTTAGCAACTGAGAGAGGAGAAAGAGGGACTTGGGCTAGCTTCTGTGCAGCAGTCTTCCAATACTGGTGAATAATCTCACATATTCCCAATTTCTGAAAGACAAATTCATCCTGAGCCCTGATATGATCTTTTGACTTCTGCCCTGCAGCAGTCTCACAAGGAAGAAATGTAATGGTCTTCTGCTTATAAATGAACATACTGTTTTCCAAAAAGGTGGAAAAGAGAAGCTACTTGAGCTTATTAATTTGTACATAAAATTAGATAAAGAAGTAATATAATTATACAAATTATATGCAACCTTTCCCTCTCAATGGTTAGCAAATTTGTACCAAGTTAATAAGGGGAATAGTTTTGCCATTTGAAATTTTTCATGCAAGTTGGAGAGGATAAATCCCATTCTGCTTGGGTATTTCACAATTAAAGTTTAACAGGAGCACATTTCATTCATATTTTTAGGCATTACTGATTGCATGAAATAAGAATGAAGGAAAAGAGTTTGAAGCAGAATAAACTATGGCTGTGTTTTGAATGAACGGTTCATGTGAAAAAAGAGTTTAACAGGGAACAAAGGGGTGAGCACAGCCACACACTGGATGGCTTTGATTCAGATCAGAAGTACAACATCTGCTCCCTGAGACAAGTACAGGTATAATGACTTTCCATGAAGCTGGTGCTGGTGACTTTAAAACACACTGCTTGTATCAAACAAGACTGACGCTATTCTGACCAAGTCCTTCCTAGCGCTTTACTACAGGAAGCCCACAAGCCTCCTACTTGCTACCGAGTACCTGCTGATAAAGTGACCCATGGAATCTTTCTCTGATCACAGAAGAGCTCTGTTACCATGTCAGCCACTTCATTCATTCAAGCAGCAATTATTTGCTTTTTGTAGGCACAGCAGTTTATGAAGTGACCTCAGATAACAGCATTACTATATGAGAGAGTTTGCCTCTCCCTTAAGAAAAGTTCATCAATAAATTCTACAAAAATAATTTCAATATACAGATTCCAAAGATCTGTTTGCAAAACAAAACAAACAAAACAAAAAAAACAAACAAACAAACAAACAAACAAAAACAACTGGAAGTGCAATAAGAAAAGGGGGAAGATGAAATAAAACCATAATCTTTAATTACCCTATAGCATCATTTGTGCATCTTCTCTCTTCTCATCCAGAATATTCCTGTTTCAAAGCACAGAGAGACTTGCCTTTGGTATGAATGAGAACAGCATAACTGAAGTAGGCTGCTTTATATAGGTTCCTTTACTTTTCTTATGAAGCAAGATGCTACAGGCAATTAAAATAAAAGTCTGCCTGTCAGAGCAATTCAGCTCTGTGACACAAAACCAAACTTTCTGCTACTTGAGCTGCTGGTTAAATATGGCTGAGTAACAAGGCACACTTTTCAAAGCCAATAGCTAATTCAATATACCAGATTTTCTCAAGTGCCAGATATTGCCTGGATTAGAGTCATTAAAAAGCTGAAAGCCTACAGCTGATGAGAGATGAATGCTCAGTTTCTAATCATGGATATTTATAACACTTCATATTTCTTAAAAAAAAAAAAAAAAAGAGGTCCTGTTTGAAATTAATTTTTCCTATCCTAAAATAAGTTGTAGGCACCTGTTCTGCCCACTTTCTTGGTCTCAATGCACAACTCCATTTCCCACACACCTTAACTAAACTCAGAAGTACCACAAGAAGAATTTATTTAAGGAACAGGAGAGACATGGACCTGTTGGAGCACATCCACAGGAGGACTACAGAAATTATCCAAGGAGTGGAACACATCCTTATAATGGACAGGCTGAGAGAGCTGAGGCTGTTCAATCTGGAGAAGGCTCCAAGGTGACCTGATAGCAGCCTTTCAGTATCTAAAGGGAGGCTGTAAGAAAGAAGGGAACAGACTCTTTAGCAGGGTCTGTAGTTACAGGACAAGGGGAAATGGTTTCAAAATAAAAGAGGGAAGACTTAGGCTGGATATAAGGACGAAGGTTTTACAGTGAAAGTGTGAGGCACTGAAACAGGTTGCCTAGAGAGGTATCTCCCATCACCTGAAGTTCTCTTTACAATTTTTCTGTTTCTCCTTCTCCTCTTAAGTAGTCTTGGGACGGAAAGCTGAAATGGTATTTTTGTAGTTCAGTTTCCTTCCTCTGGCTTCTCTAACCGCCATCATACTTGCTGATCTTGAACGCAAAAGTTACTCCTAACCTGTGTGTCTATATTTCTTATGGCAAGACTATGGGGGCTCAGCTTCTAGAAGGACACATGTTATACATATTGTATGCATTCCAAATTATTTATTATAATTAGCAAGTAACCATATAGTTTATTTTGAAGACTTTGGTTTCAAGCACAGAGTGTTGAAAATAAATATAACCTTACATTTTTCTTGCATAGGAGAGGAAGAAGCAGAAACAATGCTATACTTAAATGTAATTATAATTAATAATTACAGTAGTTAGCAATACATACTAGTGATAACTAGAAGTGATAAGTACTAACTAATAGATATTTATCTATTATTAATGTAATTAACACAATATAAATAATGTCTATATATGTACCTATCTCTATATAAACAGGGAGAGGTACATATAATTATATATTATTAATGTCTTACACACACCTTCATCCTGATCAGCCAGAGAGAACAAGATGAGGCCATTGGTACCATCTGTATGTTTGCCTGTGTTGATCCATGTGGCCAGGTGTGTGGTCCCACTGGAAATACATGCTCAGCCTCCCTGCTGGGCAGCACATGGGGCACAGGGCTGCAGCAGTCTCCTTGTTATGTTACTGGATACAGCTGCCCCAACACACATGATATAACTGGGATTCATTATGTATTCTACATGTTCTTATAACCATCGATTCTGTAAATTACTAGTCACGATGACATCAGGAGGGCAGCCTAACCAACTTGGATGGCCACAATCAATGCAGTGATCAAGAAGGCTGACTTCAGTTGCCTTCGGTTTCAGCCAAATGACTGACTACTCCCTGCTTAACCGAGGGCAGTTTCTGCTACACACATCATACAAGAGGTTAAGACTCTCTAAAGGACTGTATTTCTTCCTGTGCCCTTTCCAAGAGTGTGAAGACAGACCTCAAAACTGTTTGACCAAAAGCAGAACAAAGTCTCATTAAGTTTTCAGACACACTTTCACACACTATGTTCATTCATTTTTTCTTCAACATCGGAGCAGAAATAGAATTTCCAATCTGCATGCCAGGAAAGTAATAAAACTCAGTTCTTTACCAATAGTTAGAGAAGGGTGAAAAACCATCAGTTATCCTAAGGATAGAGGGGAAATCTGACTAAGAAACATTTCAGTATATGAGAGAAGGAAGAAAATATTCCCTGCTGATATGTTTTCTTTCCAGGTAGCACATCATGATCATGACAAAATTCACCAGTGAGATTTTAGGGAATCAAATCCAGTTATTTTCCTTTCCCTTGATTTTGAAGAGATTAAAAAATTTTTTTGCTTATGCTTTCCTACTGCCACCTCTTCCCCAAGTGATGCAGCTGAAATGACACTTGCCAAGTCAGACACTACCATTCATGTACCAGGGCCCTGACAAGTTGAAATACTTCACAGCTTCTCAGAAATCCAACATCAAAATTAAGAAATCTGATTGACCATTTTTCACTTGTCCTCTGAAGATGATATAAAGAAAACATACAAACTACACCCACCTAATGGGTGCCATCGAGTCACTGCATTTAATGGCTTCTCTTTCTTGAATGCAGACTCCCAAAGACAAACTCTGTGCTTACGGACTACAAACAGGACAAACTCACCAGTTGCCTTTTTAGGTAATAAATATTTATTCCCCTGGCTCTTTCATTTGCTGTCCAGATTTCTTCCTATCTTTCATCAGGAGCAAGAAACAGAGATTAGGGTAAACTTTCAGCAACTATTAAAAAGTTTTAAGGAGAACAGTGGAATGGAAGATTCTGTCATAGGGGAAAAAATCACCTTTAAACAGAAAAGAGAAAGTGGGATATTGTTTTTGTAGCAAAGAGATCTGATTCCAATGCAGACGCCATTAGCAATGTCTAGAGCTAGATTTCCTAGATACAGCTCCAAGTCTAAGAAAGAGGATGCTGTCCCAGCCCAACTGACTCTCCAGATCTGCAGAAAAAAAAGCATCAAGTGGCTGTTCTTGGTCTGTGTATTGTTTTACATGTTAAATAGCTGAGTTCTAAGTTTCTCTCTTCCCAGGAGTCAGGGAAAGCAGCTGCGGATTTATGTTGTAAGAAATGCTGTACAGGATGACAAACTTAAACATCACAATCTAAACTTGTAGGAAGCTTTCAGACAAAGTGTGAACAGTTTGCATGAAGGAATATACATTTCTTTAAGGAAATTTAAAAGATGGAAGCCACAGTGTAGACCAGACTGAGTAACAGTCATATGCCAAGGCAACACAATGCTTTGACGTGAAGGGAAAAACAGAAAAAGCAGAAGACTGACGTACCATGGAAGACACCAGTCAGCAGCATCTCAGACCAAGAAAGACAAGGAGGTTGCAGGAAAATAATGAGAGAACAAAAATCATGTTGGGCTATAGAAATAACATCTCTTGACCCTGATTCAAGCTTCTCAGAGCTGAGCTCATGTAGACGAGTGACAGGTTCCTCCCCTCTTTGCTGTCTCAAAAAAAACCAGCACTATCCAGAATAAAAACTATTAAGACAGAATAAAGAGCTGAATTTGCTATAAAACTCAAGCCTTCAAATGTATAAAAAGAAAAATTACATTCTTATCCCCTGAAAGATGCATATACATATGTATGTGTGTGTATACTAATATATTCAAGTCACACATACACACCTGCAACTACAAACAGACTCACAATTATTGTTTCGTTATTTTCATGCGTTACGGTGAATTTAAGAAGACAGGCAAAGAAGTGGGTTCACTTTAAAATGGAGACTGTTTCAAAAGTGCTCATTTAAGGCTGGGGACTTGCATGAAAGGCCACTAATACTCAGTCCAGAGCACATACTATAAAATTTTGAGGCATTGGAAGAACAGATTTTAGTTACAGGAAATAAGCCAGTAAAAAGATATGGCATCAAAGATCGCAAGAGGCATCAAAACATGACTGAAAAGTCCAATTTCCCAGAAGTCACAGAATCTATTCTTATAAAAATTCAAAAGATCTAAGCAAATAATATTCAAATCTTCCACATTGTTTCACATGAAACAAACACTAAAGGAGTTTAACTACAGGTGAGTGTAGAACAGGATGCTTAGCTTAAAATCTGTCCCTCGGGTTTCTTTCCAGAATGACTGCTTCAGTGAAGATGCTGCCTGCTTCAACTTCTTACCTCCTTTCTCTCTCCCAGCTGAAAAGCACAACTACCCAGCCACAAGATCATTCCTGAATCCAGAGGGATCACTCTCCTACAAGTTCAAATGCAATGCGTTGGCATAGAGCAACATAGCCACACCTGCACAGGATCACTTGAGCACCACACAGTTGAGGTAGTTCAATTATTTTAGGTAGCTTTTCACCCCATGATACCTCAAATGTTACTGCTATGCCTCAGCAACGCCAGAGAAAATGGCACAGGCAGCTTTTGGCTAAATGAGAAATCAATTCATGCTGGTAGAATGTCTTCAAGGCCTAAAGAAACCAGATTAGTTGAATTTTATCACTGGGCTGCTACAAAAGTGAGGACACCTTCACAGAAGTGGAAGAAAAACAGTGTGAAGAGGAACCAAGAAGGACTAGCAGACACTTCATGCAGTTATCTTCATCCAGTTTTGGCAGGTTCTCAAAGCTGTAGAAAACCATGGCAGGAAGCACAGGCTGCATGTGCTTCTGGGGAGAAGGATCCTTGTTCTGGTTGACTGTAGGGGCACAGCACTAAACTGAATGCATCCTAGAATTACCATAGAAAAACAGGCAGGCTTTGGGTACAAATTCTTTTATCTTTCTTGAACTGCTTAATAGTTACTCCAATAAAAACTCCCACAACAGCCTCTTGCAGCCCATTACTTCCAATGGCAAACAAAACATCTGTAGGACTTGAGATTTCCCCAGTGAGTTTAATTCTGAAGGAAAGGGCCTAAGCCCTTATGCTGCAGAGTCCTAGAGAGAGATCAGTCTGAAAAGAGACCCAACGCATGGCAAGAGCCCTTTAGGACATATACTGAAGCCAGCAAACATGCAACAGTGGACAAGAACAACGCTTCTATAGGGCTCAAAGATACTGACTCCTAAGCTAATTTCAAAGGCTGGCACTCAGAGACATAAGACGCTAACTTCAAGCTTCCTTGCCATTCAAGTGAAGTATATATACTCAATAGACAAACGAACAAACAAAAAACCCCAAACCCACAGATGTTATTCCGGTGAGCAGCCATATCACTAATTTTCATTGCAAAAAAAAAAAGGAAACTAAAAGGTTTTAACTTGCTTTTCACGTGCTCCAAAAACACGTTATACAAAGTGCAAACAGCACTTATTTTAAAATTCTGTATTTTAAAATTGTTGTTATGACGGTAAAACTTTTTGCCACTAACTCTATCGTTCATTACGTGTAGTTACCACAATGGTAATTTCAGGGAGTTGTTTTTCAGGACGAGTAAGCAGGCATATTTATTGGCATTTCAGAAATAGCATATTTTTCACAATTATAACCAGAAGGAGCCCAAATGGAAGATGATCATCATCAGGTGGGAGGCTGGCAGTACAGAATAGAAACATGAAAACTAGCATTAAATTTATCCTTCTTAACTACTAATATAAACTGTTTACAAGAAAACCTCATTGTCTTGCTGCATCTCACTGTCACTAAATGTTGACCTGTACATGCCCTCTTTATCTCCCTCTTATTCCAAGTTTTATTTCGAGCTATCCGTG